TATCACCCCTTTTCCCTCTCTCTTCTCACACTGCCCTTCTGCCTCACAAAAAGCAGGGAGAGCCAGGGAATTGTCACTGTGGATAAACTTGTCAAAAGAGCACTCTACCATCCTAATTCGCCTCTACCTGTTTGTGAATGCCAGGAAGAAAGAAAAAAGCAAGAGGGAAAATAAGAAGGGACAGAAATGGGGTAGCGGGATAGTGTGGGGCAAAGAAAAACCAGAGTGAGATTCAAACAAAAATGAAACACGCCTTCTTAGACAACCCGAGGGGTGGGATGCTCCCCCCAGCAGGTCCTAACAACATACTTCTTTATCAGAGGTTCTTGTCAATCAATTAGCCTGGGCAGCAGGGGGTGGGGGCGCCAAGGAAACAATGGACCGCCCTGTTGTATTACTATTTAATCACTTTTGCTAAATAAATAGAGCAGCCCTGAGGTGCTGTCATGTCAAGGGAATTTATAACAAAAACAAAAAAAAACCTTCATTTTTCATTGGTCATTACTTTTTTTTCCTTCAGGACAAGAGAGGGTTATTACTGTAGCCTTAAGTTCCATCTTTGTATTTCTTGCCTTTGATTCCCCCTGGACCCTGCCACTTTCTGGCACTAATTTGTCAGGCTGAACAAAGAGGGGATTTGTACCTCCTGTAAGGTCTCAATTAGGAATGGCTTCTGCTGTATTATGTGCCATTCAGAGAAGACACAATGCCGGTAATTACAGGAATTTGCACTAAATGGCTCAAGAATTCATAGCAAAACTTTTCCCCCCTTTGAGTTTACCCCTCCCAGGGCCTAGAAGGGAAAAAAAAAAAAGAAAGCAAAAAGTTCTTCATGCCAGAGAGAAGTAATTACCAACAGCAGTCTCCAGAGGTTAAACAGCAGAAAGGAGTAAAACTCTAAAAACTGACAGTTCGAGCTGGTGAAGGGATCCCCTTAGGCTCCGTTTCTTCCTGTGACAGGTCCCACTTCAGCTCACAAGCTCAGAGGGCCGTCCAATTGCAAAGCAGTCACATGAGGAACACTTTCCAAGGTGAGCTCTGCCTCTTGTCACGCCTATAAACAAGTCCTGGGGCCCTGTGATTACAGCACTCAACTGCTGGGTTTCTTGATTGTTGGTAAATTACAGGAAAAACATCTGTGTGTGCTAGTGCCAAGAAAACTATGTATCTATTGAGTATGAATAAGTAGGTACTCATCTCAAACACAAGCTGCTGCCTTTTAATCCAATTTATACAGCACTGAAGAGTAAATCACCTTAGAAACTTACAGGCACATATTCAGAAATAATAATTTGTTTTAGCATTAATATTTGACATTGATCCTCATTGCCAAACGTAATTTGCTTGTTTGTTGTCTGGATATAGGGTCTCGCTATATAGTTCAGGTTGGCCTTAAACTCACAGTGATCCTCTTGCCTCAGCCTCTCCAATGCTGGTATTACAGGCATGTGCTACCATGCCTGCCTTTGCCAAACATAATTTTGAATTCCAATCAGTAATTTCGCTAAAGGAGCACATTTTGCTTTCTGCTACAGAGATGTTCCTCAAAACTTAACCTAAGCATGGTTAAAGTTCCAGTTCTTCTTCAATACCAGCCCCCAGCGTAGGTTCCTTCACTTGAGAACCTTCACGGTCAAATATTAATTCAAAAATGATTGAAGATTTCCAGTTTCTCTAGTTCTATCTGACACCACTGCTGAAACTTGTACAGACTGGTATCCTGGTTTCACTTCTGTCAGTTGCCATTTGAGGGTCACTGACATGATTGTCTCGTTAAACAGCTGTCTTCCTTGGCCGACTGCAAGCTTCCTGAGGGTAGAGACTGCACCTGCTTTCCTGCTTTCGTGTCTAGGTGTGTGCAAGTTTCTGGGCAAACGATGAATGACAATAAGCAGATTTTGATTCATATTTCGAGAAGAAGCCCAGCCAGTAGTAAACCCCAGAGGCAATCAGGACCACAGTTAAGTATCAGGAGCAGCAGGAAGGCTCAACAGCCAGGACTTCCTAAGCTTGGGCAGCTATGAAACTAGAGAGGAAGTGATGGAGCATCCACACATCACCCATCAGAACCATCAAAAGTCCACGTGCATGTCAGGAAACATGCAGTGAAGTATCAGCATATATTTTCAAAACCATACCTCAGGCGTTTCTGGATGGTCATGGTCTATTTGCTCTACAGGGCTCTAAATTTTATTTATTTTTTATTATTTTTTTTAATCTAAATTTTAAAGAAGGCGATAGAGACTCCTTCACTTACAGAAAGAATGCAATGAAATAAAGCCAATCGTACTATTTTACAGATTTAAAAGCCAATATTTATGGTTTCTCTGAACAGCAACTAAATGATACCATAATAAGCAGTTGCTCAGTGTGATCTTCCACTTTTAAAGTCTACTCATCCAAAATGTTTTTTAAAAGGAGAACGAAGTAGACATAAAATGCTGTAAAGGGCCATGCTATTAAAGCCAAGAAATACTGCGAATTAGCGTCTGTTAAAAATAAGATACAAAGCTCAAACTCACTAAAAAACAGTGTCCTGGAACTTTTGGCATTTGGCAGATAAACATGGTACACATCCAGCTTTTTCACTGCATGTGTGTTTTTGTGAGGATACAAAGTTAGATGACACAGGTACAAAAGCCAGAAACAGCTGGTTGAAATTAACTGTGTTTGTGAGAAATACAGATCAATTTTTAAAGGTTCATCTGCTATAATAATCTGTGATATATCGAACAGCCTCGTAAGTAATTTAAAAACCAGAGGTTTCCTTAATTTTTTTTTCCTTTTTCTTTTGAGACTCTGCCCCCTACAGGAGATAAAGTATTCCTACCCGAAGCAGGAGAACAATTCCCCACGTACCAACTAGAATTAAGAATGAAAAGCAGGTAGATGGGCCATGAGTCACAGAGCAACTCAATACAGCACTCTCTCATGCAAAAGGAGGCATTTAATAGGTCTGTATTTATGTCACACTATATGAATTAACATTTTCCCCAACCTGAATTAGAAATCTACCTGTGCCCCACTAGCACTCCAGACCAAAGCACAAAGGTAAAAGCTGGGCAAAGAAGTTTCAAGCAAAGCAAAGGAGCTTCTGATTTGCTACTTCTATCCCCAGACGGTCCTCCAAGCAGACAAATTTAGTGAGCACCAAATTTAGACAGCAAAGAGAGGTGTCCTACACACAGAACCTACAGCAGCTGTCGGAAAGGGCTCTTTCCGCTGACTGCATAACCTTTTCTCTTCTTTTCTACCTGGTTCTTCTCAGCACTTTGTCTTTTTCCTGTTTTCGCTCTTTTGACTGCTAGAGGAAGCAGCCTTCCTCTACCTACCCTTTCTCCTCCTTTGGAGTGCTAAGAACACAGAGGCATGTGCTGCCCAGGTGGAGAAGGAGGTATGTTAGGTAACCACCCTTGGATGGCACCTGAGGCTTTTCCTCACACTTGTGCTACAATGTTTCTTGATTCAGGTACTCCAGTGTCTACCTTAAAAACTAAGTTTTTGGGCAAACAATAAATGCTCTCCCTTATTCAACAGCAGACCTGTTGATCCTATCAGTAACCTAATGCCATAGAAGTATTTGTAATTTCAGGTTGTCCACAGAGTTAACGACTCGTCACCACAGTACTACCAAGTGCCTGAACTTGAAATGTAATACACGTACCAGTATCTGTGACACTGGAATACCAAAAATGTCTCAGCTGTGCCAAAATGAGTATCTCCTTATTTCAAAACCATTTCCTAAAAGTAGCTGGCTGACTTGGCACAAGGTCTGTCACACTCCTACAGTGTCACAGTCCACCATGACTTAACTGGCTCTTTTACTTAAACAAGCTCTGCAAATTTCTGCTCAATACTCACTGAAGCCCTCACGGTAAAGTGAGAGTGATTCACAGAATCCTCCCCTTGAAGTAAATTATTTTTCAATAGAAAAGGTCATCGTCATAACTAACCTAAATTCAAGATGTGGTTTTTAAAATGTTTTCACTACCATTTGGCAAGAGCAAGAATAAAATTTAAAATCTGATATTGGCTGAAACTGAGTTTTGTTTTTGTTTTTAAATCTTTTTGAGATAGGGTTTCACTATGCAGTTCAGGCTGGCCTTGAACTTGCAGTGATCCTCCTGCCTCAGCCTCCAGAGTGCTGGGATTACAGGTGTCATCACCATGCTTGGTTTCTTGTTCATTTTTAAACAACATACTTAAGTATTGAATACTTGAATTAAAACCTCCCCAACCAGACTTCTGATTAAAACTGTTTTTAGGGCAAAAAAAAAGTATTGCCCCAAGTTGTGGGGTTTAGTGGAAGGAAAATAATTTTGATCTAGATTATAGTCGACATAGATCTGGTACAGTAATTTTTTTCTATTTTACCGTTTGGAGGAAGGTGGGAGGAACAGAGAGGAGACAGGAAAGCAGCCGCAACAAGGTTTTCAGATATAGTGGATCACTGGTCCTGAACTCTACTTTGTGTCACCCTTCAGAGCAGTCCCAGGAAGCTGATGCCCCACGAGTCACCTGATAAATAACCTCCACTGTTCTTTTAGCCATCTGCACACTTTCGGTCAATGCTAACCTTCTGGATTGCACCTTAACGGGACTTGACAAGATCATGATCAACAGCAGTTACCAACTACCAGTGTCTGCCTTGCCTAAGGAAGGTTAGCAGTCAGCTTTGGGCCCACACGTCTCTTGACACAGTCCCAGTAACTCGACATAGAATCACAGGCCATTCAGGAAGCCCAAATTCCAGTCTGCTTAGGTTGTAGCCAAGTTATTTGATTTAGTAGGGTGTATTATATCTGTTTCTATTTACCTAACCAACCTGGTCTGAGTGGTGCACGTATGGACAGAGTTAGTACAGCAAACACCCTCGAGGCGAGATGCTTTTCATAACCGGGGTTTCTAACACTCACAGTGAAGAAATTTTAAGAGTGAATTCCAATTATGAAACTCGAGATTGCTCTTTAGTGAGCCTTATGCTAAAAGCCATTCCATACCTGCGCATTTGAAACACTGAGCAGTGAGTCCGCGCTCCAAAGACAAAGTCGTCAGGATGCTCAGGAAGCTGGTGGTCACAGACTGGCGTTTGCTCTTCCTGAGTTCGTGCCCGCCCATCTGATCCTTGGGTTTACTCCTCAGTGTGACTTGCAGGTTCTGCTCTGAACTCCTGGCTACATTGGCAGCTGTCTTCAGCGCCTCCATCCACTCCTGAGCCCTCTGCCGGGTCTCGGCTCGGAGGCGGAGGACATCCTGGGGGAAAATGACTTGAAAGCAAGAGTCACAGCCATCCAGGTGGTCTATCTGGACAGCCAGACACACATCTACGTTGTAGCTCAACAGGGGATCCTCATCTAGCTTGCCTGGCTGAAAGGCCGTAAGGTAGGCCTTGCTTAGCACAAATGTAAATGCCTTCCAGTTGTTCTGGACAGTTAGTCTGTAGAGTGTCCCTGATTTGAGGATGTTTTGGTACTGCTTGGGGCTGTCCAAGACAGGGGATGATGGTGGCAGTCCATTGGCTTTCTTCTGTAAACACTGATTCTGCGTACAGGTCACATGATGGCTGAGCCCCAGTGAGTTCACCAGCTCATCCTGCTGGCCCACGTAACCAGGCACGGCAGCGTGCACGACCTCCCAGAGCTTCTGCCCCCAGTCCAAAGCCTCCCACGGCGACTCTGCCTTCAGCTGCAGCTGAGTGTTGTCACAGAGGACAGCATCCACCATCCTGGCCTCAAGGTGACCCAAGACTGATATGCTCTGGAAGTGTGACAGCTGGTACGTGGCATAGAGGTTTTGATTCCCACTGCTGTCAAGACTGTAGAAGTATAAGTTATAGGGCGAGAGTTCTGCGTAACAGCTTTGCCAGTAACTGTCGTGGTCCTTCCTAATATCCAGGTAACCCTTCTTCAGAATGTTTGGGAATGTCTGTTTGTGCTCTAAAAAAAAAAAAAAAAGAACAAGAAGAAGAAGGAAGGAAAAAAAAGGAAGAAAGAAAGAAGCAAAGTATTAATTACTTATGAGAGGGCAGATATAAGAAACCAAGCAGAGCAGAGGTCACATCTTTCTAGTTAAAACTAAACAAAACAGAAGTAATAAAATTCCAAGATAGTATCTAATTGGCAAGATGTAACTAAGGAAAAATCTCTCAGCTGAAAAACTGAACTGGGGTGATGGCAAATGAGTGCAGAGTAAGTATGGGGTGTGCAATGTTAATGTGACAAGTAGATGCCTGTGGGGGAAAACGGAAATACTGAGGAACTATGGCTAGGGATACCCTGCAGGTCTAGGACCTAACTGTACCTTGCCAGGACTTCTTGCTTCTAAGTAACGTTCTGCACAGCACTGAATATACACAAGATACGGCTCCTTCTGCCACATGACATAATTCCCTGCAAGTTCTTTTCTCAGTTTGGTGAAGGCAGAATGAGTCCGTGAAAAAGTATGAAATGTGCTGCTTCTGTGTCTCAGACACAGAAACTTCTGGCTCAGAAACATCTGTGTCTCAGACAAGCCCCTAAGAATCTAAAGCCAGAATACTGACCTTCTGTTTAGTCACTAGGATCACTCCCATCGACTCACTGGTTAGATGTCTTTCTCTCCGAGCCTGAATGTGCCTCTGCTATTCCCTTAGCTTGTAATGCTACTTCCCTCTTCAACCAGTGACCAAGAATTTACCTTCCTCCAGAAAGAAAGCCTGTCCTGAATCCCCCAACCCCTTTGCCCATCTCGCCTGCACATATATATCCCTGAGTCAGTATCGGGTATCTCAACTATATCCCAACTCTACATAGGCTCTCTATCAGACTGTGTTAGTTTATTTAAATGTCCAAACAAATACATTTTAAAGTTTGTTTTAAAAAAAGTCATTCTTTTCCATGTGACAGTAAACTCCCTGCTCATCTTTTGTCATAACACACGGTATAGTGCCTGGTATATAACAGGTGCTTAAGAAATCAAATTAGAAACAAAGCTCCTCGAGTCCAGCGTGCTGGCGCACACCAACACTCTGCAGGCTGAGACAGGAGGACCACTGTGACTTCAAGACCAGCCTGGGCTACAAAGTGAGCTTAGGGCCAGCCTGAACTGCATAGTGAGACCCTGTTTTGAAAAGAGAAGAAGAAAAAAAAGCTCCTAACACAAAGCTCAGCACATAGTAGATATAATTCTCTTTCCCTCCGTATCACAAGTTTATCTAGTCATGCCATCTTTAATCTACAATGAGCTGTGATATATATCACTATAGGGTTTTTGTTTTTTGTAGTATGGGGTAATAAGCCCAGGACCTCTACACTAAGCTACATCCCAAGCCTCCTCATCCATCCATCCATCCATCTACCTTTTTAAATTTTGAGACAAGGTCTCACTAAATTGTTCCATTGCTCAAGCAGCATACAAACTTGGGATCCTCTGCCTTAGCCTCCCAGAATGGTGGGAGATAAAGAGCATGCACCACCATGCTTGACTCTAGCTTAGTACTTTAATAAAATGGGACCACCACTGGAGCGCTGAGAGAGCTCCTGAGACTTTATCAGATATGAAAATTATATCCATGCAGAGGCAAACACTCTTCCCTGGTAGAGACTTTTCTTAAGATGTTTCTCAAGTCTGTCACACACCGAAGAGTCAAAAACTAATAAAGTCCTTCCCTAAAGAAGACAAATCACACTCCCAGAGGGCAGGAGTTCCACTTCTGTCTACCTGGTGAAAGGGAAAGAAAAAAAAAAAAAGAGTGAGATCTGAGTCTTAAAATAGCAAGCCAAAAGAGAAAGGGAGAAACGAGGCAAAGAAAAAGCCTATTTTACCTGTTATACATCTCTAGTCCCAACATTTATTAGTATTTCCGTGCTAACACAAAAAACCATTAATTTCTTGCAACCCCCCCTAATGCCTTTGTAGAAAGGAGAGGTAATGGATGCTATTCTCAGCCACCTTCCTCTCTGACAAAGCAGCAAGGGAGGCAGCGTGTCAGAAACCTCTTTTCTCATTTCCACAGGTGATGAGGGCAGCCTTCTCCACAATAAGGTCCATGACCTTCCCTGGTCTCTCCTGTAGCCCAGCAGCTCAGCTATGGTTCCCTGAAAACCACCTTTCTTGCTTTTAGAAATACTGTCATCTCTTCTTACTTCCCTGAGAGCTTTTTACAACAACTACCGTGAATCAAAACTCTTATTTATTTTTTAGCACTGGGGATTGAATCCAGGACCTCAGGACTGAGCACTCAGCTACATCCACAGCCTTTTTATTTATTTATTTTTTAATCTGGAGACAAGCTCTGGCTAAGTCACTTGTTTTTTTGGTTTTTTTGGCATAGGGGATCGAACTCATGACTGCATGCTTGTTAGGCAGATATGCTTATTCTGCTAAACTAAACCCCATAATAGTGACTTAGCCAGCCTCAGAGCCTCTGAGGCGCAGAGGCTGGCTAAGTCACTATTATGGCATGTGTTTAGATGTCCTCCCAAAGCCTCATACTGTCACAGCTTGGGCTTTTTCAGGGGTGGCTGGATCTAGAGGGTACAGCAGATTCACGGTGCAATGCCAGGATCAGGGGTGTGAGCGCTCTTCACCCTGGGGACAATTAAAAGGGACAAAAAGAGGTTTGCTTCTTTCTAGTTTGTCGTTGCTTACTTGCTACCTTTTGCCAACTGTGAACTGTTTCTCCTCCATGAGGCCTGTCTGTTCCTGCCTTGGAGCCAGCCAATTATGAACTCAAACCTCTACAAACTGTGAGCTCAAATAAATCTTTCCTCTTTTAACTTTGGGGATTGGGTGTTTTGTCTCAGCAACGAGAAAAAGTAACTAAGTCACTAAATTGCCAAGGCTGGATTTAAACTTGCATTCTCTCTGCCTCAGCACCCCAGAGTGCTGGGATCACAGGCAAGCACTGCCACCTTCAGCTAGATGCCTGTCTTTTAATTAAGCCCCTGACCAAAGCCTCATTTCTTTGAGGTGGAGCTAAAGCTTAGTGGGAGAGCACTTGCCTAGCATGCCAGGGGCCCTGAATTTGATCTTCAGCATGGCAAACAAACAAACAAAACACTTCTGACTATCCACAAACTGGGTTGTGGATGCCAGCATGGGTGGTGGGAGCAAAAAGTCTCACTAGAGAATCTCCCAGGTAATAAGGCTAAAAGATACACTGAGTTCCCACATTCTCTTTCCTCTCAGTAAGCAGTGTCTCTTATCTCTGCTTCCCACCCCAGTTTCAGTGCTTCGTAGTTGGGGTGCTAACTAAGACAGCAAAGGAAGATGCTAGATACACAAAGGGGCTATTCTTGAAGGCCATAGTCTGGAGTGGAACGAGAAAGCAAAGGTTCAGGAAATTCTATGCTGCCAGGCGGCTATGATGGGCAGAGAGGTAATATCAAACTTTCTCAACATGTTGTGTGTGTAGTTGTTACAAGATAGTTAAAGAACTATCATTTCTCTTTGGGAGGCTGAGGTGGGAGGATCATTGCAAGTTCGAGATCAGCCTGGGCTACAAAGTGAGCTCAAGGCCAGCATGAACTGCATAGCGAGACCCCGTCTCAAAAAAAAAAAAAAAAAAGAACTATTATTTCTCTCTAAGCTTTAGCAACTGTCACTTCCTAGTGGATCTCAAATTTATTTTTATCATTTTTAGTGGTCAGAAGCTAATATTTAAACCTAAACTTTTGTTTATTTACCATAGTTTAGACTATATCATTTTAATTCATTTAAGAACCCCCCCACATATCCTTGTAAAGTGCTCAACTTCACAAACGAAACATACAATCGTGACTAAAAGTGACTCAGAATCACTAACTAAGATGGTCACCAGTGTGCAAGTAAAAATAGGAAAAGATGATGGAGATAAATCACTGTCCCTATGAATTTCACAATCAAACCACAAGACACAAATTCCTCACGAAAACAAAACAAAAACCTCGTCACTTCCCCACTGGGCTCCCATTAGCTGGCACCCAGCCCTGGCACAGTTCCCCTGGGTGTGGCCTGTCCTTCTTGCTCCTTGCCATCAGTCCCTAGGGACGGGGCCATGACGGGAACTGCTCCTGGCTGAAGAGAAAGAAGGGCAGGTCAAGCACCTGATGCGCTTCCACCTGCCAGCCCGCCAAGTTCCTCTTCTGACACTGCTGCCTCTCAGCTCTCAGCGCCACCTCCATCAGGGCCAGGCCACTGTCACCAGGCTGAGCTTCGGGGTGTCTGGCAGCCCTTCTTAGGTCCCTCCGTGGCCACCTCTTCACAAATTCCAGGGAGACACAGTTTAGTCTAATATCCACACTTGTTAGCTTGGCCTTAAATGTCTCACTATGGAAAATTCCAAACACTCTAAAGCATACAAAAGAATAAAATATGTGTATTCATTGCTCAGCTTTAAAAATCAGCATGTTTCTTGTTTCATCTCTCCCACCTCTGAGCTCTTTGTTTTGTTCTGCTTTGTTTTGATTTTGCTGGAATATTTGAAGAAAAATCATAGATATTTTATCATTTTACTTGTAAACACTTCAGAGTATATCTCTAATAAAAATTACAACTTCAAAATCTATGTATGGGTCTACTTTCACCTACATCCCACATTAATAAATCCTTACATAATATCCAGACTATTTCTAATTTCCTTAGATTATCTCAAAACATTTAATACAGGTGATCTGTTCAAATTAGACTTACATGCTGGGCGAGGTGGTGTACCTCTGTAATCCCAGCATCCCGGGAGGCTGAGGCAGGAAGATCACAAATTTGAGGCCACTCTGGTAATTTAGTGATGTAGCAAGATCTTATCTCAAAATAAAGATGGGGGATATGGATCAGTGTGAAGTCCCTGAGTTCAATCTCTAGCACTGCAAAATAATAAACAAACAAAAAAGGAAAGAAAAAAAAAATTTGAGACAGGCTCTTACTATGTAATTTAGCCTGGCCTTGAACTCACTACGTAGCCCAAACTTGCAGCAATCCT